TTCTTGAAGTTCCTATGATTTAAACTATCACAATAGGTAGAATTCATGCGGGGTACGAACGACGATAGAATTTTTTAAACTTTTAAAAGGCATATTAATTTGCTCCTTAAGTTAGTTAGGAGTAGGATCACGTTTGCCAAACAATTTTCTGTTAAAATTTGTTCTCTTTTTCTTCTAGTTTGTTCTCTCACTCGAGCTTTAAAATGTTGAGGTCCCAATTTTATGAAAATGTCGAATGGAAATATCAATAAAATGTTGATATCAATGGAAATTTCTGAAAAATTCCACGAAACAAAAAAAATTTAAATTAATCAATTAACATTATTAGACGTCTTATAAATTTAAAATGCTTATTATTTTTATTACTTTCACATTAGTGACATTTTATCGCTTCTTAGTTATGTTTCATCAATTTTTTTACAGTTCAATCGATTTTTTTTTTTTTTTGGGTCACGCAGATACGTGTGAACGGGCCAGACACGGCGCCAGTCTACAAGTTCCTCAAAGCAACTAGCATGGGGTTCTTAGGCACCCGGATAAAGTGGAATTTCACCAAGTTCTTGGTAGATAAGGAAGGGGTTGTCATCGGACGCTATGGCCCGTCCACCAGTCCATTGTCTATTGAGGTACGTTGTCCTAAGCGGCCCCATGAAACTCATTTCCTTGATAATGAAACTGCTTTGTTGTTGATTGTAGCATTGTTTTTTTTCTTTCCAATTACCGTCTCAGAGTGACATCAAAAAAGCATTGGGAGTTGCTTGAGTTACCTCTGACCTCATGCTTAATGTAAGTCCACATGAGTTAAAGTAATTGAAGACACTAATAGAATATAACCAAATGGTAAAGGTGTATTCTCCCTTGGCTGTAATTATTGTATTAGCAGTAATAGTCCGAGGGGTCTGTCTGTGTGCGTGCGCGTTTTACGCGCGTTTCTTCTTGAATTTCGAGGGAATGTAAGTAGTGTCTATTTGTTTGATTTGTTCTAGGAAGTGCATTATGGATGGCCAAGTTATTTTCATATAAATTGTTTTGCTAGTTTGATTATGCAAAGTTGTTTATGACGAATATCGAACATGTAGATTGTTTTCGAAGTAATTTATACATTTCCATATGAAATAAATGTACGATAGTTACTTTAATTTAGGTTACCTTTATTCTCCATGTAACACAATATCTACTCATTGTTGGTGCATTGCCTATCTTGAAATGTTACACAAAGAACTCATTTCAACTCACTAACGCCAAATAATTCATTTCAACTCACTAACGCCAAATAATCCTGCTTCATTCAACAGTCTAGGGCCTCTATATGAGTTTTATCAACCTCTATTGAAATAGACTCATCGTAGAGAAGTTAGACGATATATACATTAAGATGACCATTATAATACACGGGAACCAAATATCTAAAGCAAAATAGGCAATAGAGGTCATGACTTTCTCACTTGACTTGAAAGCATTCGATCCCCTTTATTGATTTAGTATAATGAAGACTGAGTGTGATATGATAGATAACTTACACTTACCATACGACTAAAGAAAAGAGTGGACTAAAGAAAAGAGTGGGAAGATACAAGTTCACAACGTATATTAACGTATATTAGCCATGCATACACAAAATCAATCTGGAAAAGAGACTATTGAAAGCTATAACATAGCCGGCTGAGATAACTAGGGTTAGATCTAGGGTTTATAGTTTAAATCCGCACACTTGAAAGCTTGAAAGCTATTTGTAATTCTACCGAAACAACTACAAACTATACGAATAGGATCTGAAATCCAATAAAATCAAATCAGGATTATTGAGGCTGTGGATCCAAATATCATAAAACTAAATCTCACTCAACCCACGAACGTTCTTAGCTCGATCGATGCAATAAATGGCCGACATGTCGGACCAAGGGATGAATGGGAAGACTACAAAGGCACATTATTAGAAGCATCCATTAGAGATGACAATGGTAAATGAGAAGTCACTCTCAAGTGAGCTTTGTCAAGGAGACAACTTTGTCTGCCTTGTTATCCATTGAACTTCCAACATTCTCACATCCACTAGACAACAATGTTATTATTCATTTATTTATTTATTTATTTTATTATTCTTATCCTTATTATTATTATTATTTTATGTGGCATTCTTAGAATATTATATATATATATATATATCTATATATATATATACATATTGATTTGATGATTATATCTTTTAGAAAAGATATTTTAGTAGCACATAAGTTTGGCCCATTTTTTAATAACATATTGTGTGTGAAAAGAGATTTTTAAATGTGATATAATATAATAATTTAGAATAAAAATTAATTGATGAATAAATAATATATTATAATTACTAGAATACACATTATTATTTTTTAATTAAGATAACAACAATCAATAATAAATTCTAGTTTATTACCTTATTTTAACAATTTTATGTATTATTTAAAATATTTACTAATTAAAACACAAATTATTAAGTTACAGTCATTATTAAATTTTATTGTCACGGTATTTAATAAAAATAGATTTTATTTTAATAGTTTAATTTGTATTAATTAATAATATTAAGTAAAGTTAATCATTTATGAATTAAAGGGAAAAATTTAATAATTTATAATAAAAAACACATTAACTAAAAAAAGTTGATATAATTTTTCATTAGAAGAATTTTATTATTATTTCTTTTAGTGAAGGATATAGATGAATATAGACAAAATAAATACTAATTAAATAATAAAAAAATACTAATTAAAATTAAATAGTTAACAAATTTATAGTAAATCTCGAGGAAGTTAAAATCAGCTAATGTGACTACTAAGCTATTTCTCTCGAATTGAGCTAACCCTAAAAAGAGGATTACAAGCTCAGGGATCAATGAATCGAGAAGTTACGAGTGTCTTCTTGAATAGTTATTTCAGCTCATAAGGCGCAAGATGTACTTTGTGTTGGGGAAGGGGCGGAACATTCTAGGTGCTGCGATAAAGTTCCATCGACATAAAAAATTACAGAAGTAAATTGTGAGAAATAGCCAGTTTTTTTGCTTGAACGAGAGGATTCTAGCCATCGAAACCATTTCTACTTTATAGCCTTCGAAAGCTATACTTCGAAGTCATTGACTCAGTAGTGTCTTAAATAGATACTCAAAATGTTAAATAAGGGACGAGGATAACACAATCCACAAGAATTTTGACCCCAAACAAGTGCGAAAGGTACGTCACGATAGCTACCAAGCCAACCATTTAAATTGATTTTTCTTCATGGTTAACACTAACTTTTATATTTTATGTGGTTTAGACTTCACTTGTTCGTATCAAAATATCGAAAATTTGTGACTCTTACATGATCAAAAAGTCGATATTTCAATGGATGATATTGTGATCGATGTCGATATCCAATTTGGCTATCAAATCACTATATATTTGAGCCCTTATAGCTCAAACTAAGCAACTTAAAGGCATTATTACATAGAAGAGATAGGGTCTTGGTTTGATCATCTTCCATTGCCAATGGCAGCAGCAAAGAAAGAGCAAAAACAGTCAAAGAGGTGTTCATTGGGCCAACTCTCAAAGCACCTGAAACAACACAAAGGAAGGCTTTATATCTTATGGAAATGTGCAATTATTCTTCTTTCTTGGAGTGATTAACCAAATATTTCCAAATCTTTCCCTTTCTTGATCTTGTCAAATCAGCTGATGGTCGAGTTCGAGAAACGTGGCTATTGGCTAGGATTCGTTCTTGTAAGGATTAAGAATTTCTCGTTGATAGTAATGTACGGTTCCGGACGGAGTAGTAAGAGTGCTTCTTACCTCTTACGAGTCGTACGACATTGTATATTTTCGTTTTCACAGGGTTTCTTTCTTTCTTTCTCTTTTGTACATATATGGAATCGTGGTGAATCTCGGTTTTTTTTTCTATTCTCGAATGTACTATTAGAATCTCGGTTTTTTTACTCCAAAAAAGATCGAAAAAAATTATCATAATGAAAAGCTTTTGTTGATAAAACATTGTCGGAGAAGTGTTTTGTCGATATCAAAATTGTTCACATCGAAAAAAAGTTGTGCCATCTTCGTTAGCATCGGAAATCTCCTTATGTTATTAACAATCATAGTTTAGTTGTGATTTACTAAGGTTGTCTGAGTGAGTCACTCAGATCTTGTGTAAGATATGTTGATGTTGCAACCAAATGCGATGAGTAGTCTTTGACATGATAAACTTCTAATATGATTTTATAAGACATGCCTATTTTATGATTTCCAGGTTAAGTGATTTCTAGTTTTATTCGGTAACTTTTAATCCCGAGAAAGGTCATAATTCATTATCATTATTCGTGTTTGATGCTCTTTACTTGGTTAGGTAATGATCTACTTAGATCAAGTGGCTTTGTCTCGGTTAATTTAACTATGCCACACAAGGTGACTTCTATTCCTATTTGACGACTTTTGGTCTCACTTTATTAGATTACGACTCACTCGAGTATAGCAACTATAGAAAATCAAATATTCAGGAGATGATTTGCAAAAGAAATTTAAGGGAAAAAAAATAGGAAATATATGTATACAGAATTTGCATCTCAAAAGATTTGGTTGGCCATATGTGGGGTACTCAGTTTTGGCCATTTTTCAATCAAATTTTTTTCCTCCTTTTTCTAATTTAATTTTATTTACTTTTATTGACTTTTAATTTCCACTTTGTTTTATTATTTTTCAATGAATGAATATTTGAGGACTTCTTTACCATTCTCGAGCTTCAAAAAACCATGACACACACAAATAGTTACAAGATATTGATAGGAGCCTAGAACCGAGTAAGTTAGGTTGACGTAGTCCTTATAAACTGATTTAAACCTCAAATAAGTCCTTATAAACTGATTTAAACCTCAAATAAGAACTAGTTCACCAAAGTCCACTCCTTAAACCTGCCTTAGGGTTTTTATCAAGTATGAGTGATCTAGTCTCGAGCCTATACCTAAAGAGTCGTAATGTGAAGTTTAAATTTACTCTCAACATATCATTTAAAATGGGGAATCCAAGTTGAAATTGAATAAACCAAAATGTCAGTACAGAAACCCAATCCAAACTGGTTCTATAATCACTAAATTTATGATCCAAAGAGCAGCGAATATCCAATCCATTGCTTTATAGACTGTACCAAAACTAATATAAACAATATATCTAAAGACTTGAGACTTAAATTTATTTTGCCTTCTAAGTACCAAAATTCTACTTAAAACTGAAGCAGAAAAAGAATATAAAACTTAAAAGCAAGTGGCTAACCCAACAAATCTTCACTTCTGGACTCTTCAAAACTCCCTCAAACTTCACTCACTCTTTTGCATCCACCAAATGTGGAGCATCAGCAAACTCAGCATCTTTGTCAAATACATCCCACCCATCATCTGAACATGCTTTCAAATGGTTTCTTTCTGATCTTTCTTCTTTAAGATTGTTTGATGACATGCTAGATTTGGAGCTAATGAACGAGGATGCTCGGCTTCCTTCCTTATCGAGATTCGAGGACGAACCTTTCTCAGCATCCAGATGAGATGCTGTGTCTGTTAAGGGTGAGAAAAAACGTGCCAAATCGCTAGCTGCGCTTTTTAGAGATGAACCTGATGAAGCTAGAATGCAGCTTGTTTGACTAGAGGAAAGAGATTTGCTTAATGGTACATCCAAGTCGAACTTCTCCTTAAGATGCCTCACGTCTTGAACAATAACTGAAATTTCTCCCCTGCAAGCATACCATGTAGTGTTTCGTTTTCTCATACCGAGATAGAAGTTGCGAAATCGTAAAGCAGTACCGGTAATTTTGAGGACAAAATGTAAGTATAAATATTATACAGATAAGGATGCAAATAATAGTTCTGAAAATTGGAAAATCGCCTTTGGTTAATGCACATCCCTACTACCGCCTGCCTCATGGGGGACAAATGGCGTTAGGCATGTGATGCCCAAGAAACGTATTCCCGCAAATTAGTAAACCACAGAGGCAACCATAAAAGAAAATTAGATTTCCAGCAGATTTTATAATGTAGTAATGATTAAAGATACGAGTTTAAATTCGTTATGCAGATGCTTATCATAAGGTGCAGGCTTGTTTGTTTTTCATTGATGTGATGAACAACAATGCACAGGGACAACGTTATCTCTAACATCGTTAAGTTTATAGAGGAGAAAACTTACTGTAATATATCAACTAATTGTCCATGATGGACGAGAAACTCCCGCAACTGCATTAGAAAAAAAATTATTAAAATCAGTAGTCAATAATCAACTTTCCCCTGAACAGTGCACATCATTCACAGCGGTGCAAAGAAGCTGCCACCCCTCGGTTCGTCTTAGTTATTCTCTAGTTTACCCCCCTTAAATATTCACAAATGAGGATTTTTGGCTCCGCCCCCTACAACTATGGTTAGTTACCTTGGCATTCTCCTCTGCTTCCTGTTGTAGTATCCTTGATTCCTCGAGTACCTTCTCCATGAGGGCCTCTTGCTCGGCAAGAGCCTTTCGGGCACATTCTTCCTTAGCGAGGTTTTCTTCCTGTATTACTTTCAGCACAGCCTCTACTGCAGTCATTCTTGCTCCAATTGTGGCATGCATCTGGATGATAAAGAACTTCTGTCAGTTATTCTTCAACTACCAATCTTTCACAGATGATGGCTCTCATGGCTAGAAATAACTCAAACTTGAGTCATCTTACTTTTCTGTTCCTTAAAACAAAATACTGAACATAATATGTTTTATAAACAATAATATGATAATGTATTCTTTTTATTTTATAAGTATACCTTTTCAAACTTTATCATTATATTTATATTGATAATATGTGAGAGAGAATTAAAAGAAAATAACTACAGAAAGATGCAAGTTAGTGAAGAAAAATAAAATGAGGGAGACAAAAAGACACGGGTTATAGAGGGAGATTTTGAAAAACCAAAAAATATGTTTTAAAAACCTCATCAAGAATTGAAAGAGATTTGTCTCTTTCCTCAGACAAGCTGAGCAGACGAGATTGTAGTTCCCTCGTTTCCGTTGCTAAAATCGCCTTTTCTCCATAAACTTCTCCAGCATGCTGTAGAAGAAGAAATTTCACTCATTAATTAAAAATACAAACATAATCCTTACAGACCCTATAGGATCTAAACGAGAAAATCTCCCACCATATCATTTGCTTCCTTAGTACGGGCTACAATCTGCTTCATTTCCTCCACTTTGGCCAGAATTTCTAACTCTCCATTGGTAGAGTCTTCTTTGACTTTTTCAACATATTTCTCCACATGTTCCAATGCCTTCATCTTATCGATAACTGATTGCATCGCTGAAAATAACGTTATCTGCAGAAAGGTTAATTGTTTAGAACGCAACAATATGTTGATATCATCAATCCTATGCATCATATAGGATCCAAGTCTTACGACATGGAGAGATAAATAAATAACATAGTGATACTTCATATTTGCAAAGGTACTCTGAAGCATGGATATCGACATGACACGACAAGCTGCACGCCTTTTTTGGAAAATCTAGGACATAAACATGGCACCACATAACTTCTTAGTTTCTTGTTAGTATCTAACTTCCCCTATTCTCCAAAGGCTAGTCAGAAAACATCATACAAGATGAACAGAAAAAGCAATTGGACAGAGTAACTAACTAACAGATACCGTCATGTCTCAAAGATTAATATCAAGTTTTTTGCAATATGAAACAACAAACAACACTGCAGCATGGTACAACTTCATCTTGGCAAAGGCATGGCAAATATGTTCCTTTGAGCACACAATTTCAAATAGCAAATTCTCCTCGACAGATGGTTACAAAAGATCCAAAATGAAAATGACACACCAAAATAAAGTGGTTTCATTTAAACCAACTAAATGAACTGAACCAAGAAAACTAAAGGAATGGTGAAGCTGTGTAGAGCAAATAATCCAAAACATTGAGCATTACCATATTTAGAACTTTCAATCTGAAATTTACTAACACCAAGTTAACAAGTACCTTGTTACTTTTAGCATCCTCAATGTTCTTTTCAAGAAGTTCGATACTACATGGTTGGCCTGACTGTGTGACTATGGTATGCCCCACCAACCCATCTTCAATCACAATCATCTCACCCGTAGAACAGTCTTGCTTGAGACTAGGATTTGAAGTGCCATTTGCATTTGATTTCTGATAGTCAGATTCAGAGTGAAGATGGATTACAGACTGCACAGGAGAATGATTTCCAAAAGATGGGTTGGCAGTCTGACTATCACAATTCTCATCTGCAGAAAACGGTCGATCATCACGGTATGATTCATGTACGTGCCAGCCGTCCAAATCATGAATGTTATGAGAATGATTAACCCCATCAAACAGTGTCTTATTCTGTTTGATATCCTCAGTGACCGGGTTCAAGATTTTGGTGATTTGAGGACTTTGTTCGTGATCATTGTATTCACTATCTTCATGAATCAAACCATTTAATTTTCCAGGTGCTACTTGATTCAATTCTACATCACTGCGGTCTTCTTGTACACTGGCTAGTACTTCGAGGCTTGCAGTTTCAGTATTCTCACATGATTGCTTACAGTCATCACTAGCAACATAACTAGTTTCAGAGACAGATTGATTCAATGCGACATCTAGATGTGCCACACCACTCGCTTGGGAAGTGACATCAGATGCTTCATCACCAATTGTACCTGATTCCAAAGAATCCATTTCCCTCTTCACCCATGTCGAAGAATCCATTTGCATTTTGTTCTCAACTGCACGTTCCACGTAACCAACAAAAAATAACACATGATATTAATAGGGTGTTCGACAGTCTTCTGACACATTCTTTCTTAAAATTGGTAGTGTTTGAATAAAAATTTAAGGAGTGCTAAGAACTGTTCTAGGCCATTTAAAAACACCTTTAAGAATTTCCAATAATCAAAAGTGGTTTGAGAAATTCTAAAAACTAATAAAAAGTCCTTAGAGGAAGCATTTCACTAATTTTCATTCAAAAGTGTATATAAAACAAGTGCTCCCTTAAAACTCTCTTCTTTTTCCAATGATAAACCAAACACACACTTAAAAGTTTGAACACAAGACAAGATTATCAGCTTTACCAAGAAATCGAAAATGTTATAGCCGAACATTACAATTAGGAAGGGCTACCTTCTTTTGGATCCTGCGGGGGTAATATAGATTCTCCAAGAAAACAAGGTAGAACCTCAGTGAGAACATCATTAAAAGTCCTTAGAGGAAGCATTTCACTAATTTTCATTCAAAAGTGTATATAAAACAAGTGCTCCCTTAAAACTCTCTTCTTTTTCCAATGATAAACCAAACACACACTTAAAAGTTTGAACACAAGACAAGATTATCAGCTTTACCAAGAAATCGAAAATGTTATAGCCGAACATTACAATTAGGAAGGGCTACCTTCTTTTGGATCCTGCGGGGGTAATATAGATTCTCCAAGAAAACAAGGTAGAACCTCAGTGAGAACATCATTAAAAGTCCTTAGAGGAAGCATTTCACTAATTTTCATTCAAAAGTGTATATAAAACAAGTGCTCCCTTAAAACTCTCTTCTTTTTCCAATGATAAACCAAACACACACTTAAAAGTTTGAACACAAGACAAGATTATCAGCTTTACCAAGAAATCGAAAATGTTATAGCCGAACATTACAATTAGGAAGGGCTACCTTCTTTTGGATCCTGCGGGGGTAATATAGATTCTCCAAGAAAACAAGGTAGAACCTCAGTGAGAACATCATTAAAAGTCCTTAGAGGAAGCATTTCACTAATTTTCATTCAAAAGTGTATATAAAACAAGTGCTCCCTTAAAACTCTCTTCTTTTTCCAATGATAAACCAAACACACACTTAAAAGTTTGAACACAAGACAAGATTATCAGCTTTACCAAGAAATCGAAAATGTTATAGCCGAACATTACAATTAGGAAGGGCTACCTTCTTTTGGATCCTGCGGGGGTAATATAGATTCTCCAAGAAAACAAGGTAGAACCTCAGTGAGAACATCATTAAAAGTCCTTAGAGGAAGCATTTCACTAATTTTCATTCAAAAGTGTATATAAAACAAGTGCTCCCTTAAAACTCTCTTCTTTTTCCAATGATAAACCAAACACACACTTAAAAGTTTGAACACAAGACAAGATTATCAGCTTTACCAAGAAATCGAAAATGTTATAGCCGAACATTACAATTAGGAAGGGCTACCTTCTTTTGGATCCTGCGGGGGTAATATAGATTCTCCAAGAAAACAAGGTAGAACCTCAGTGAGAACATCATTAAAAGTCCTTAGAGGAAGCATTTCACTAATTTTCATTCAAAAGTGTATATAAAACAAGTGCTCCCTTAAAACTCTCTTCTTTTTCCAATGATAAACCAAACACACACTTAAAAGTTTGAACACAAGACAAGATTATCAGCTTTACCAAGAAATCGAAAATGTTATAGCCGAACATTACAATTAGGAAGGGCTACCTTCTTTTGGATCCTGCGGGGGTAATATAGATTCTCCAAGAAAACAAGGTAGAACCTCAGTGAGAACATCATTAAAAGTCCTTAGAGGAAGCATTTCACTAATTTTCATTCAAAAGTGTATATAAAACAAGTGCTCCCTTAAAACTCTCTTCTTTTTCCAATGATAAACCAAACACACACTTAAAAGTTTGAACACAAGACAAGATTATCAGCTTTACCAAGAAATCGAAAATGTTATAGCCGAACATTACAATTAGGAAGGGCTACCTTCTTTTGGATCCTGCGGGGGTAATATAGATTCTCCAAGAAAACAAGGTAGAACCTCAGTGAGAACATCATTAAAAGTCCTTAGAGGAAGCATTTCACTAATTTTCATTCAAAAGTGTATATAAAACAAGTGCTCCCTTAAAACTCTCTTCTTTTTCCAATGATAAACCAAACACACACTTAAAAGTTTGAACACAAGACAAGATTATCAGCTTTACCAAGAAATCGAAAATGTTATAGCCGAACATTACAATTAGGAAGGGCTACCTTCTTTTGGATCCTGCGGGGGTAATATAGATTCTCCAAGAAAACAAGGTAGAACCTCAGTGAGAACATCATTAAAAGTCCTTAGAGGAAGCATTTCACTAATTTTCATTCAAAAGTGTATATAAAACAAGTGCTCCCTTAAAACTCTCTTCTTTTTCCAATGATAAACCAAACACACACTTAAAAGTTTGAACACAAGACAAGATTATCAGCTTTACCAAGAAATCGAAAATGTTATAGCCGAACATTACAATTAGGAAGGGCTACCTTCTTTTGGATCCTGCGGGGGTAATATAGATTCTCCAAGAAAACAAGGTAGAACCTCAGTGAGAACATCATTAAAAGTCCTTAGAGGAAGCATTTCACTAATTTTCATTCAAAAGTGTATATAAAACAAGTGCTCCCTTAAAACTCTCTTCTTTTTCCAATGATAAACCAAACACACACTTAAAAGTTTGAACACAAGACAAGATTATCAGCTTTACCAAGAAATCGAAAATGTTATAGCCGAACATTACAATTAGGAAGGGCTACCTTCTTTTGGATCCTGCGGGGGTAATATAGATTCTCCAAGAAAACAAGGTAGAACCTCAGTGAGAACATCATTAATAGCTGCATGAACATCCTTGGGATTCTCAAGAGCTACAGCCCTTAGCATCCGATGATCAACCTGAGAATGAACATATTAGCAACCAAATGTAATTTAAACCTCATCATATGACCAAAATAAGAGCAGAGTTTCATAAATTTCAATCGTCACAAGACAATTGAATTACAATTGTATCATAACACAACTTTTGGGATAATCGGTGACAATTAATAACTAGCGAAGGAACAAACCAAAATCATATCAACGTCATACCTCCGGAAAGAGTTCCATTAGACACTTGTAAACGCTATCCAAATTCATTTCCCAACAAGATTAATCTGCAGGAGACAACCAAACACTGCCTCGTCAATCAACAAAACCCCAAAAAAAATTCAACAAGAGGAGAGTATCGAGGAAAAAATAAAAAACCCCGAACAAGAGTTTAAAATTTCACATAATTATTCGACTGAGACGATAACTAACGCATTTCCCAAACAATCGAGTTCACAAAACAACGCTACAGAACAAGAAAAGAGGCAAATGAAAGCTATAATTCAACCCCCAAATGAAGAAATTCAAAAGACAGATAAAAACGCATATAGGTTACCAATTTTCTCAGCAACCAGACAGCAAACGGAAGAAACTAATGAAGATCAACCAGTGATTGAGAGCGAGAGAATCGAAAGAGTGAGGAAATGAAAATTGATGAATTGGGTTTAAGAAAGAGTCGGCCTACTTAGCAGGCAAGGAATTGGGCATTATCGTCAGTCTGTTTCGCGATCATATCAGATCATTCATTTTCATTTTAAAATAAAATTAAAAAAAAAAAAGGATCAATCTAGTAGTTAATAATTTTTATTTATTTAAGATTTTTCTCTAATAATTTTTAAAAAAAATTTATAATTTTTTAAACCTATTTTTTTATGAATATTTAAATTAATGAATATTTAAAGATAAGATTATAGAAAATTTTGTAGGAATTAATTGAATATATGTTCGTCAGCTCATAATATATATCACAGAGAGATAAGAGAGTTTTCTCCTAACACATAAATTATATTCTCCATTCTCGTTCGTGTTCTGTCTCCATTATTTATTTATTTATGTTGTATTTTTGTATTTTCGATTTTGAATCTAATTATATTATTAATATTTTATTTTAAACTATATTTAAAATTTTTAGAAATTAACTTTAAATATAAAATTAAGTTTTTTAAAATATTTAAATTTTTGGGTTTATTATATAAAAAAGTTCAAAATTTTAAATTTTATTATTCATATATATTGTGGACCGATAAATATAAAGAGAATAAACGTAAATTAAAAATAAATGGAGAATTGAAGATATAAATTTAAAACCCGCAATTTCTGTAAAGGTCCGTTGCGAGTTGCGAAAGCTAGCCGTAGCCGATCCAACAACGATTGCTCGGTATGCTCTCTACGCCCTATGCGCTCTTCTCATATCTGCGCAGCTTCAAATCTGCTCAGTCTTCTTTCGTAAGGCGAAAATTCTTCTTACAGATCAGAGCCGTTTCGAGTTTGAAGGTTATTTGGCGCAAGGATTCCAGATTGGACGAAGCCATTGAGAACGACAAGCGGTACAAGCTATGTGCGCGGGTTGTGAGGGAAGTTCTCAACGAGCCTGGACAGGTGATTCCACTTCGATATCTGGAGAAACGACGACAGAGATTGCGTCTCAATGTGTCAATCAAGACGTTTATGAGTTTTAATCCGGGTTTGTTGAATACTTACTGTGATAGAATCAAACCTAAATCTGAACCCGTCCTGTTCTTACGCCCGAGCGACCGGCTTAGGGGGTTTCTCGAAGAGGAGAAGAGGATTACGATGGAAAACGAAGCGTTGCTCGTTTCGAAATTGTGCAAGTTATTGATGATATCGAAGGATAAACTGCTCAGTGTCGATAAATTAGTGCATGTTAAGCGGGAATTCGGGTTTCCAAATGATTTTTTGGTCAATTTGGTGCCGAAGTACCCTGAATATTTTCAGATAATTGGAAGTCCTGGAGACGAAAAATCGTTTCTTCAATTGGTTTCTCGAAACCCTAACTTCGCGAAATCAGTGATTGAGAGAAGAGCCGAGGACGAATCCATATCGACAGGCATTCAAATTCGACCCAATTTCAACTACAATCTTCCTCCTGGATTCTTCTTAAGAAAGGAAATGAGAGAATGGGTTAGAGATTGGTTAGAACTAGATTACATATCGCCGTACGAGGACGTGTCCCATTTGGCCCAAGCTTCGCCGGAGATGGAGAAGAGAACAGTAGGAATTTTTCACGAGTTGCTATCACTTTCATTGTTCAAGAGGATTCCAGTGCCAATATTGGGAAAATTTAGTGATGAGTACCGGTTTTCAAATGCATTTTCCAGTGTGTTCACAAGGCATTCTGGGATATTTTATTTGTCTTTGAAAGGTGGGATTGAGACTGCGATGCTTCGAGAGGCATATAAGGGTAGCCAGTTGATTGATTGTGACCCATTGCTTGAAATAAAAGATAAGTTCGTGGAGTTGTTGGAAGAAGGATGGAGGGAGAGAGCTGAGCAGCGAAGGCAGCAGGCAAAACAAGTGAGGAACGACATGGAATTCATGGCTGCAAGAGCTGACGCTTAAAGGGCTGAATTTATGATGAGGATGACTTTTCAGGTAAGTAGATTTTGGGAAATTTTCATTTTTAATCCTATTTATCTTACCTTTAATTTAATCTAGTCGAATAATCAACTTGAATATGCAGTGAAATTGCTGCCTCATTCTAGTTTTTTTTTTTTTTTTTTTTTTTTTTTTTCTTTTTTTTCTCTTTCGAGTTTATATGATGTGTTGAAGTTAAAAAAGAGAGAGCCTCCTATTTCTGCTCAAGCATGGCAAATTCGCGTCAAGAATTTAGCCTTGCTACACAGCCAAAAAATGATCAATCTAGCTGCCTTTTTTCTCCATAGACTGGAATATGACTCCTTTGTCTGATTGGACAGGTTAGGATTGTCGTTGTAATTCAGTTCAACCTTTACAATTTTCTGTGGAATATGATTCTGTAGAAATCTTAACTATAAAATTTTCTGGAGCCACTGTTTTCTTATGCTTAATGTTACTCAGTAAGTAGGAAATCCTACCCTTTTTTTTGCATGTATGTTTGTGATATGAACCAAGACATCTCAATCACCCAATATGATTTCAAAGAAGATGAACTTCATTTATTCTTAGATGGTTACAAATTTTGAGTGGATCATAATCTAGAATTATGTTGTTTCATTAATGTATTTTAAGATATTTATATTTACTTTAAGGTTACATTTACATGGTGGCTAATTATGGTTATGAAGTATGAATGTTACAACTCTTGAAATTCCCCATGGAAGGTCAAAAGTTTTATTTTTGGACTATATAAAATCATGTATGTTGTCTTTGTGAAGTAGACTTGGAAAATATAGTAAGAGAGCATTTGTACTTTCTTTTAGCCATGGGCTAAGTTTCTTTGCAATTCTATGTAGTTTAGGTTGCATGCTTAGAATCATTCAAGCTCGACTTGATTACTCTTGCTTGTGGAGTGGTTTGAATCTTAAACAAGTTTGTTTGCCTTAAGATATTCGATCAACAAGATAATTCAGATCTTACTTTTTCTTGGGGTGGTTCATTTGAGGTTTTTGGATATATTTAGATCTAAAGTTCTTATTGTTCAATAAGGTTGTTAGATTAAATTCTCAAGAGTTGCAATCATTTGGAATAAAATCCACTTAATCGGGGGATTTTAGCATTTGAGAACTAAGGGTTTGCGAATTTAGGCACTTAGGGTTCTTAGATTCAATTGGCTAGGTTTCCTTATCAGCTTGTGTCCTTTTATTTGAATTATATTATGTTCGGTTTCTTACAAAAATAGAACTTATGTTTATCATAATTGGGCCAATAAAAATGTGATTAGTCTAAAAATGAGTGGGATTTACTTTATGGTAAAGGATTAGGATATGGAGCTTAGTTTCTATCGTGTATATGGGGGGATTCCGCATTAATGTTAATATTTTTTATACTCAAAATTTCCCTTTCTTTTTCTCATAAAAAGAACAAATCTATGGATGACCATGAGAAAATATTTTTTTCTGATAATAAACAGCCTCAACTCAACCAAAGCCAAGGAAGTTTTGCATGATTATTATTATTATTCAATTAGAATTATTTTGGTGAAACAAAAGAGCTCTGATAGTTTGGATGAAAGCATACCAATAAAAATAGCAAGTTCCTAGGAAATCTGTGTTTCCTAAAGAGGAACTGTTTGTTTCTCTGATCAAAATGTCCCCCAAAATAAAGCTCTGGATATGCAGAATTACAAAGTTTGGACTCGAATCCCATGAGCATGCCTCGCCCAGGAGAGGAAAATTTTGGTATTAGGAAAAGTAGTATATCAAATAGTATTCTGGTGCATTCCCGTGTCTCTTGCTTACTGAAGCTTCCTTTATGGAGTCTAATCCTGCTTTTATGGATAAACTTGCAGCTTGGATTGCACAACTTAATGTAGAGCTAGAATTGATTCATTTTGAGACTGTTGTGTCTCGCTTCATTTCAGCTGCCATTAACATTCAGAAGAGGTATAACTTTCTTTTGGGAACATTTCTGAATTAATGTAATTCCAACGTTTGGTTCCACAATGACAATCAGCTAATGAACTCTGCTCTAATCAGTGTAAAAAAATTTCTAGGTTTCTTGATGATCGCTCGAAGATGTAATGCACACATCTCCGTCTCATTAGTTAACGATGGTTTAATGTCCAATCTTCAGGAAATCACCCTATCCAGCAACTCTGCCAAGTGCTAAATGGTCTAGCAGTGGAATGTTCAAATTAGCCTTCAAGCAAAGTAAACGGATGGCCTATTGAACCCTGCTTGAAATTCTGTGTCCAATTTCCCTCGTGCCAAATCCTCATTAGTCACCTCATACCCAACATTAGAAATTTGCTGCAATGGTTCCCAAATTCATTAAGCAGCCTAAACCATTCATCATGGTAGGTAGTATAGACCATTATATCTATGTGAAGTACATTATTATTCAGGTTGGATTTGGTCTTGCTAATAATCTAGTATCGATGGAATGACTTCTACACATCTCTTGCATGTTGCAAGGAAACTTATTGTCCTATTCTTTATATGCTTCTTAGTGAGGTGACACTTCATTATTGTATGCAAAACAAATTGACGGAGCACATTTATATTCTGATACTATATCGTTCATGTGACAAATGATGCAAGGAAAAAAAGGTTGGAAGTTTTCACTGGATGGAAAATCTTCTCATCTGAGTACTAAGAACAATTTTTTTTAAATGGATCTCCAACCCCGAAATTCATTCACCCTTAGAAGCATTAAAATAAGTACTTTATTTTCTCTGAGAGTTCATCTTGCTTATCTCGTTTATTGCAGGAATGAACTCAACACTCTTGCTTATCTCGTTTATTGAAGGTTATTCATTCATGAGGTTTAATTCAACTCTTGTGCGCTATGAATGAGGCCATAACAAAATACCAACCAAACAGAACCTACTTCACTCCCACAGAAAAAGAAAGAAGAATAAAAAAACGCAAACAAACTCTTACCCAAGGGTGTTAGGAATTCTGGACTGTATAAATACCATTGTTATTAGTCTGCAACAACCATAAAGCCTTCCCAGGTTCCTGTGTTCTTGCTTTGACTCGGAAAATCTAGATAGCCTACTTGAATGGGGAGATTCAAGATCCTTATATTTGCTGTAACTTTGTTCTTGGCTCTGATTCCTGACACAGAGGGTCAATGGCAGCCACCGAAAGTTGCTCCTCGGCCACCCTGCCCCTCCCAGATTGCGCTAGCAAACCTTGCTTGCGCAATGCTGCCTTACTCCACCATGGCCCTGTCACCTCCATCACTGTCACTCTCTGATAACCATGAAAGCCACGGCCCTCCGCCAAACCACAGACACTTGCACACGCACTGGCACGGACACCAGCACCAGATATCCCTATCGCCAATGGAGGAGAATTGTTGTAAGTGGGTGCAGCAGTTGGACAGTCAATGTTTATGCAGGCTGTTGTCTCGGTTGCCTGCATTCTTAGAGAGGCCTCAACATAAAATTTCTTTTTCTGTTGGCGGTTTGTGCAATGCTACATTCTCATGCGGAGGAGGAACCATAATTTAAGAAAAAAAATTAGGGTTATGCTCGAGTCATAGTGTGATTCAGGCACTCCTTATCTTTCTATGCTGTGTTGATGTTATATGATTCACTAGTTCTGTTGTTAAGAATGCTTCGTCAAATTCTCTTCGTCTGCTGTTTTCATGGATTATGGTATAGAAATACAAATATCACTTAAAACAGTTTCTAAATGGTGTTCTTATAGGTTCCAAATGTAGGGGGTTGTTAGGTTCAAATACAACTAAAAATGCACCAAAGATGTCAAGGACATAATAATATTTTAATTTTGGGGCTCCTTAATCATATATTGTGATATGATATCTTGGAAAATGCTACAAATTTTGTTGCCAATGTTAGGAGTATTTGCTTGACTATCATACGATATGATATAAAACTCTTGTTGTTTGGAGATATAACAAAATCCAATCATTTTATACCATCAAATTTCTTTTATGAGAATGTTATCAACAATGTATCTGCCTACCAAAACTAATGCCACCATTTTTTTTTTTTTTTTTACAGTGTGTGGACGGTAGATTTTAGACCTATAATAGCATGATTATCTTGCCTCGGATTTTTTATATCCTCTACTTGCTTTGTATGAATAATAGGACAACTACCTAACTCTTTCTGTATTTTAGTTGTGGAAGTTACTTATAAGGTATTAAATCTATTATTCACATGAGATAATTGTCTTACCCTACAACATATAATACAATACGTCTATCCATATCTATTGTAACAGCTTAAGCTCGTCCCTAGCAGATGTTTTTTTTAGCTTTCTCTTTTGGTCTTCCCTAAGATTATGAGATCTCACATTGGTTGGAGAGGGGAACAAAGCATTCTTTACAAGGGTGTAGAAAACTCTTCCTAACATACGCATTTTAAAAATTTTGAAGGGAAGCACAGAAAGGAAAACCCAAAGAGGACAATATCTGTTAGTGGTGGGCTTCAGCTATTACAAATGGTATTAGAGTCAAACACAGGACGGTGTGCCAACGAGGACACTAAGCTCCGAGGGGGTGGATTGTGCGATCCCACATCGGTTGGAGAGGGGAACGAAGCATCCTTTGTAATGGTGGAAACCTCTCCCTAGTGGACGTGTTTTAAAAATTTTGAGGGGAAAACATAAGGAGGATAGTATCTGTAGTCTTTATATCCATTTGCTAGGATTTGAGGTCATAATGCCTAGTAGTGCTATGATTATCCTATAACTATAAATGACTTTATGAAGACATGCTTTGTATCTTTTCTTTTGACTTTATTAATTCAATGCTCTCAATGACAACGATCACTTACATACATTTCAAGAAGTTTCTTTATATAGGTAACTCAACAACAAGATCGTCATTGAGGTCATTTCACCTTATTCGTTTATCAACTTTAGAATTTTGCCTTAGAATGGTGGAAGTTGATAAGATCATAAGACTAACACTGTCCTTTACTTCTTCGAGAGAAAAAAAAATTATAATCATATGCTATTGAGCACCTCCATTTTTAGGTGATTCTAGGAGGAAGCTAGTGCTTTCGTGAAAGAACATTTGAGTTGCAAAGTTGATCAAAAATCTTGTTTTCGACCCTTGCTTCATTCATGATGATAAGACACGATAACTTTGATATAACTACAATCAAAATGAATTGAGGTGAAATGAAATAAGACGAGGCAATACATAATAAAATTACAAGAAAAGTAGNTTTTTTTTTTTTTTTTTTTTTTTTTTTTTTTTTTTTTGTATTTTTCTCTTAACAAATGATCTTTTAATTTATAATATACCTTATATAAATTGGAGAAGAATATTAAATTAATAATTAGTTATACAAGACTAAAATAAATAATAAAAATCGCACTAAAATTAATTGATTGAACACGTAAAGGATTTTCCAATGATTGTTGGACGTTGACAAGCTCCCATTAATAAATATATATATTAATATATATAATTATCATCATTATTTTGTGCATGATGTGAGTGGCTGTGGTAAATTCCTCATATGATTTGAAAACATTCGAGTTTCTAGATTTTTTTTTTTTTTTTCTTTTCATGAATCATGTTTGTTTGATAGAACTTCTTTCCGGTAATCATGTTTGTAACTGTCCACTTAATTTGATTCATCGTTAATGTCTCATCTTTATAAATAAATTACATATGCAAATTTGCCTATTTTTTCATACAAAATTAAGAAATTTGTAACATTTCTTCTCTTTAGGTGAGGTATGAAACTGGTTAAAAACTCCACCCTAATCGGATGTTTAAATATTTGTTCTAACTTTTTTTTTTTCAAAATAATAATTAAAAATAAAAAATAAAAAATAAAACTTTTCATGGTTTTATAATCAAATTTAGAAAAAAAAAATAATAATAATTTTAAGATTTTTTTTTTTTTTTTGTAAATTTGGCATGGACGTCAAAATAATATGGTTATGAAAAAAAAAAAATTAAATGATGTTAGCAAATGAGGCTTGATTTTTATGAATACAAATTAGGTCAAGTTACTAAACACACCCTCAATTTTTGTATTTGTCTTTAAAATATTTTTTAATTTTTAATTTCAATAATATCTTTAAATTCAAAAAAAAAAATTAAAAATAAAAAATTATCGTCAATGTTAATTTTAAATAAAAATTGTAAATAAGAGTGTTTTTTTTTAAAAAAAATTAGAAGTTAAAAAGGTAGTTTTAAAATTCTTTAAAATTTTTTTGAAATACTCTTAAATCTTATTAAAATTCAAATATGAAACACATTCAACCTCAAATATTCTTAATTTTCATAATAATTTAAAAGGAAGGTAAGGTATAAAGTTCGGTTATTGACTCAACAAAAAAAAAAAAAAATAAATCAACCGGAAAATTGAATCAAATTTTCGATTTTTCAAAAATTAAATCCAACCCGACTTTTATAGCTTGGATTAGGTAGTTTAAGTTGTTCAAGGTGTCGGGTCACATAACAAAAAAAATCATCTCTTTAAATCAATATTTATTTCTAAGAATTTTTTTCCATTCAATTTTATAATAGAACGAGAAGGGATTCCTTTATGAGATTAAGATTTTTATTTAAAATATATTTAAATAGGTAACCTCGATCCGGATGGAGACAAGAAAATTTTCTCTCAATTCTGTCTCTATCCAAAACGGAGATTCTTTGCCTTATTCCGACGACTCGTGAATTTCAAATAACATATAGAAAATGAAACTAAACTTTTTAGAAAATCATTAAGTATTATTATTATTTAAAAAAATGTATCTTCGCAATATTTAACTNAAATAAAAAAAAAAAAAAAAAAAAAAAAAAAAAAAAAAAAAAATCTTGAGCACTGACAGCGTCAACTGCAAACAGCGCCGCCCACTTGATAAAGTCAGGTCGCTGAGCCATGCGCGCTGCGTCATGTGGTGTTGACTCAACCCTCCGCCCGCACCGCCGCACGCCACGCACCATATACACACGCCAACCTTCAACTATATCCTCCTCTTTGTCCAAGAATCCACTTTTCCCTTTAAATTATTAAGATCTTTGGATCTTCTTTTTAGTACGTTTTTAAATTTTCAATTATGAGTCTCTAATTCATATTATATTAACATCTTATTCGAGCGGTAAAATTTTGCTCCTCTCGACCTTGATGTGACAACAAAGAGACGTAAGAGAACAGGTTAGGAGGATAACCTAAAAGTGAGCGAAAGAAGTAAGAGAATTCCGAGTAGATTAGACATGTCTCCTCCAAAAAACGAAAAATTCCCTCATCACAAACTCTAATCTAGTGTTCAAGTTATAACTAGAAAGATCTCGTGAAAAGACCGACTTGCTGAATTTGAAAATAATACATTTCTCGTTCATCAGAGAATCGAATATTCTCTTTAAACCTTTTTTGTCAAGAGACTCCCACAAGCATTGATCTTGTATACGAGTTATAGATAAAAGGATTTTGTAGAGAAGATCGATCTTACAAATAAAACGTTCATTATCGAACAAAATTTCATTATATATATATATATATAATATCATACAATATAAATATACATAAATACACCCTTTGCAAATTGTTTATAGTTTTTGTGATGTATATATTCCTTCTTGTAATGTTTTTTTGGCTTCCTTGTTCAAGGTGTTGCAGCTGCAATGGCTGCACTTTTCTTAGGCGGCACGCCGGGGAGGGATGCTAAATTCTTCTGGGTTTTGACGGTGAAGATCTTCGGATGAAGAAATTGGTCGATTATCGTTGTGCTTCGTGTCGTGACGAGCTTGTTCCATGCTTCTTCTGCTTCTTTGCCTCGCTTTGTAAAGGCCTCTGTAGCATCCAATCTGTGTATGTTCCATTCTTTGGTGTTTCTCAGTCGTTGGATCTTTCCCAATTGCCTCAATGCTAGCTTGCATGTGTGCTCCTTCACTTTTGATATGGATTCTTGTAAGAGTTTCTCTTGAGTTTCCTCGTTTAAGAACGATTTGTATCGAAAATAGGAGTCGAATTCGGGAACCCCAATTGCCCTTTTGATCCCTCGAGAATAATCTCGAGTGGGATCAAAGAATTTTTCGGCCTCGTCAACCATTCCCTTAGCTACCATTTTGTCTACCCTATTAGATACAAAGGATTGCAATACAGGTATTGACACATCTACCCAAATAAAGCAACATTCATATCTCGATTCAAAGTTCGAGTCAACTAAGGTTTCAATATAAGAATTCGAGCCACCAGCGATAATCGGGAGCCGACCACGGCTATAAATAGAATCCAAAGATAACATAGTCATATCAGAGAAGTCAGCTGCCGAAAAGTCACAAAAGGGATCAATAACTCCAAGCAAGTGATGCGGTACACCACGTTGTTCTCTCTTCGTGACCTTATTTGTAACTATATCTAGCCCATCGTAAACTTGCATTTTATCAGAGTTTATAACTTCCATCGAGAAGCGGGTAGCAATGTCGATCGACAACCGAGACTTACCCGTGCCAGTAGCGCCGATCACGATCACCACCTTCTCTTTTCCGAGCTTTGGGAGATTGAAGAAAGGGTTGGAGTTTATTCTTCGAGGAGGAAGATTTATCAATGGTTGAGTGATCATCTCTTTGCTCATGAACATGGTGGACACATTCATGCTTATAAATCTAATAATTTCATCATCAAAGTATACCAAAATTAACCAATCATATGAAAAGAAAAATTGAAGAATATCAAGAGAGAGAGAGAACAAAATGCCTCACCTTTTTTGAGAGAATATAGAAATGAGTAGCAATGAATGGTTGTGAAGGCAAATTTGATATCAATCTTTATTTCCCTTCAAAGTTCTGAAACCAAAATGGATACTCATTTGGGTCAATGGGTATGCCATTTATAAGCATGATCTTCAAAAGTGGGTCAAGATCTCTCTCTCTTGATCATATTCTTTTTGTTCAAGAACTTAATTTTAATTATAAAAAAAAAACCCAATAAAATTTTTTTAAAAAGTTTTGATTTTGAAAATAAAAAATAAAATGGGTTACAAAAAATTAAAGGTTCTTGGTATGATTGATTTGATATAGATGTGGAAGGGTACTAGCCATTTGCATAAGAATATGACTTTTGGCCTCACTAACTTGGGGAATCTTGAGTTTTAAAATGGACTCGAAACCATAATGAAAGTGCTTTTACACTTTCCATCTTTGATGTGATTTGCCCAACTATCGATTTTAATAAGTTCATAAATTTTTAAAATGCAGTGAATATGAATACGAAAGTTCGTTATAAAGGTGTGAAAATCTCTCTCTAATATACGCGTTTTAGAATTGTGAAGCTGACGGAGTTATGTAACTGGTTAAAGCGGAAATATTTGGGGGCTGTTATAAATGGTATCAGAGCCAGACACTAGACAGTGTGCCAACGAGGATGCTGGCTCCCGAGGTGGATGGAGAGGGGAACGAAGCATTTTTTTTATAAGGGTGTAGAAATCTCTCTCTATTAGACATATTTTAAAACTATGAGGCTGATGACGATACGTAACGGGCTAAAATGGACAATATACGATATTTGTTTTAATCCAACGAAGAAGTCAGCCATGTGAAATTTGGACATTACGAACAATATTGGAGTATGCTCGAGGCTCGGGTCATGTTTGAGAGAAATGTTTTTAAAAAACATAGGCGAGAAAATGCGTTGAAAATAGTTTGAAAGAAATCAATGTTATAAGCTAAAAGTATAAAAGTTATATTTGGTTTCGATACGCTCGAGATCAAATAATCATGAATAAAAGTCACTTCATTCTTTTAGGGTTAGGTATACTAGTATGATTTGAAACGTACCGAACAATCGAAACTAGATATCTTTAACCCTATCGTTGTGATAAATGAGGAAATTTTTATTTCTTTCGATATACAACAATTTGTGCCTGAATATTTTTAGACGAACATTTTTTCGATACGTGACGATCTTTTCAATTCAGTTCATTTTGTGTTCTAAGAGTTTCTTAGTTCATAAATGGCCAATTATCATTGTAGTAAGTGGGATATGAAGACACCATTTGATTCCCTTCTCCAAAGATATCATTTTCACAATCCATGATATCTCTAGATTTGGTTTCACGTTATTGAAAAATCATCTATAGTTCTAAAATTATTTCACGCCCTAACGATCGTTTAAGCTGAAAAATTGATTTTTGAATTCTCGAACCTGCTACAAAACAGTGCACGATTTAGTTCATCGTGCGTGCATTAATTGCATCTCGAACATCAAAATCGACTTAGAATTGTTTCTCGAGAGAAATCAAGCTATTGTGTATGATCATTCTGATACTGTATTTGTTTTTATTTTCTTTAGTTTCGATTATTATAAGGATAAATCAGATGATTAAAACATATTCAGTATGAAAGCTAGATATCAACTGTGATGTCTTTGACCAACGATACGAAACTCTAATAATATATTTTTTAAAATTAATTATATACGTGCATAAAATTTAAAATCTTGAAGGGGCACGTGACATCCGAGTAAATAAGGGTTACAGGAATTTACCGATACCATATTTGAATGAGAGTGACCTTAAAGTTAGGATGATTTTCTTTTCCAATGACCTCCTACGAAGCATGTAAGATCCAACATTTCTTATAAAGGTGTGGAAATCTCTCCATAAGAAATGTGTTTTAAAACTTTGAGGTAAAACCCATAAATGACCATGTCGGACTAGCAGTGAGCTTAAACTGTTACAAATGGTATCAAAGTTAGACACTGGATATGTCCAGTGAGGACGTTAGGCCTAAGGGAGGTGGAGAGAGAAATGAAACATTCCTTATAAGGATGTAGAAACCTCTCCCTAACCGTTATAAGGCACGTGTCCTACGCAGATCAAACCTAGAAGATTCCATAACTTTAGATAAACGAAGAAAGTGGGAAGGATTGAGATGAAGATCTTAATCGAGTGGTTTCGATATAATATATCGTAATTGTTACCTACTTTCCTTAGGATTATCATTACCTTTTCAATCAAATCTAGATAACAAGCTTAAGAGCATTTAAATCACTTGGGGGGAAAAAAATCATATGCCAAATGATTGCAATATCAATTATTAAGCTTAATTGCATTGCCTTTCAAATCAATCATTATCCAAATAAAGTGTTAATCATAGTTTATGATTACAACCCGAGTCAAGAGGCTTGGCATGCGAGTGGTACCCACGATAAAGATAAGGGTCTTACCTCTTTCTTATCAATGAATACTTTTACGAGCAAAAAGCACTGAAGTTACGAATCGAATCGTTTTTCTTTTATTGTAGAAGAACGTGTGGAGTTTGACGTGTTCAGAAGTATAGGAGAACGTCTTTTGGCCGATATCATCACTGGTATTTGATATTGAGTTGTTCGTAACATTACTGTATCTTCCATGTTCATTGCACGTTAGATTATCCATCGTTAAATAAATGGAGTTGCTTCGTTTAATATAAACTAAAGACGATGTTGTACATTTTTTTAATTGTTAAAAGACTATATTGTAATATTAAAATTCAACATATTAAGATTTTTTTTATAAAATTTTAATTAAAATTATATTAAAATGAAAAGTATATGAATGAATTAAAACTATGCTTGAATGAGAGCGATCTTGAGAATATGATGACTAAAAAATATTTAAAATAATTAAAAGTCTCTATCTATACTAACAAGGTGCATCTTAATTTTCTGTCGAAAATTTCATAATTTTAAATATTTAAAGGAAATAAGATACAATATTAAAAAGTTTAAAAATAAAAATAAATTAAATCATAAAATGGTTTGATTTGGTTCTCAATCATTTTAAAATTGGTGATTTTAATTATTAATTGCTAAAGCTTAATATTTTATAAATACATATTAAAATATTATTGGATATCTTTAAATCAAATCTCACTTGTTTCAAATCCAAATGAAAAATATTATTTAAATTTTAGGAATAAAAAACACTGAATGGAATATTTGAGTTAATTAAAATATTGTTTATTTCTAGATATATTTGAATGACATTTTTCTTTTTAAAGATATGTTATATTATGTTTCATTTAAATATAAATATATATATACATACATTATATTATATGCTGAGGAATTTGTTCGAGGTAAATAATGTCACGGCCATATGTGAGTGGTGGTGATATGAGTGTTACCCATTAGGTCATGTTAAGGGTCGAGAAAAAAGTATCACAATGAAACTAAGGAAGATGCACCGCCTAACGCACCAATAAGATTAGAAGCAATAGTGTTAATTACAAAATCCAACGGTGAAAAATAGAGCATTCGAGTATAATCCCGAAAGTAGGGTTTGTATCGAGATTTTTGGTGAGCTCTATACGAGGTCTGGGGCAAGTCGATTTATGACCTTATTTTTCCAAGAACGGACTAAGAGAGTACATAGCCCACCACTATCAGGGCCCATAAACCAAATGAATCACTCCACAACACACCGTGTTGTGGCATAGATGTACATTGCAAATGACATGAGCGAGTATGACGATTTGTGCAACTTCTCATATGATCGGATATTTGAACATAGAGTTGGATTCGTGACGGTATGCACAAATGAGTAGGCAAGGGTAGAAGAGTCATCGAGCATGATAATTTTAGATCGATGTTCTCGAGAATGTTATGCTAATTGGTATATTAAATCATGCCTGTCCGGGTAAACATTCTTAAAATTTTTTGCACTTCGGGTCGGGTCCGGTCGGGTCACACATACCATTGTCGTCTGAAGGGTATTTTTGTCATTTCATGAATAGTCTCGGCGGTGGTGAGCGGCGGAGAAAGACGCTTCTCAATCCCATTTGAAAGAGAGTATCGAATCCTTCTCTCGGTTGCTCTTGCAATTTCTAACGCTCTGTTTGTTCCTCCTTTTCGAAGCCTTGGATTCGATTTTGCCTTACTGTTCTGATCTCCTCATCTTCACCTTTTGCCGATTCTCCCTTTCCGTCTCCGAACAAGATTTTCAATCCCATCCACGGGGCAGAAGCACGAGTAGAGCTTCGATCAGATTCTCTGTTTTCCACTCCAATCATGGCGTCTACTGATGTTCTTAAACGACAAGAGAATCGCTTTACATTTTCCTCTGTCAGTGATCCACTCAAAGGTACTTCTCTTTTGTTAATCATATCTGCTTATTGATAAAGGATCCGATATGTAGATTTAGTTAGACCCGGAATGATTTTTCCTGTTTCAGTTATATGATTTTGACATTTTCTTTGGGATTTATATTTCTCTCAGTCGTCTTATTGAGTTAATTTCCCAGGTGATATGGATTCTCGGGGTATGTCAATCGAGAAGAAGATAGAATTTCTGGAGAGCTTGACAGGGAAGGTGAGGGTGTTTGGAAGTGTTGCAAATGTTCTTCTTAGGCCATAATGATTTCCATCAGAACTGTTCTGTGAGCTGTTTACTTGTATTGATTATAGCTTTGTTAATGCGACATGATGCTTTTGCAATGTGCTTGGGATGAAATAGAAGTGCACTTCTTAATTGGGGATATTATGGATATCAATCTAAGTGTTTGTTTTTTTTTGTGTTGTATGCTAATGTGATTGGCTCCATTTTAAGGGAAAACTAGTAACTTCTCCTGGTCATTTTCTCAATGGTTACCTTTTCAATTTTATTTGGAGACGTCTTCGTGTGGCAAGGTTGTCAAGTAGTTGTTTTCTGTTCTCTTATTTGAAGTTGGAATTCCATCGAAACTATTCATCTCGATGCTTAAATGTGCTAACTAGTGATACCAGTGACAACTCTCTTATTATATGAGGTAAAAAAGTGCATAACGTTTGTATTATTTGCTGGTGTTCATATTATTATCACCTCCCAAAAGCTTATTAAAATGCTCCTGTTTAAGAAAGCTAACTTTTCCCCCCTATGATAAATAAATACTGTAGTTTCCTATTTAATTTTTGCTAGTCTTTGTCCACGGCAACTCACTTTTTTTGTTAACTTCTAAACTTTTTTTTTCCTTACTCTTTTCAGGTTACTAATAGGAAGACTTGTAGATGGTTAAATGATCGTCTTTTGATGGAGCTTGTTCCTCTTTTGAATGCTGAAGAAATTAGAGGCTTGTTTGCTCCACCACCTTGGGGTGTGATACGTATAAAGACTTTGTCCTTTTCATAATTATACAAGCTGTGATTAGAGTTATTTCTGAATAATATAAATGCTAGATGTTTCAGAAGGTAGAGCCTTCTTTTGTTCATCACCTTGTGTTATGTTATATGCTTTAGGATTTGAGGTAAGACATCAAAGTGGCTGTTCTTTTGATAGCCCCTAAAGAGTCTACACGAGAGAAGGCACGTGGGAAAGAGAGTCGAGATTGATTTTGTAATTAGTTGGTTGGGGATGTAATTGTTTGTGGGGGCTGAAGACTTAGGCGAGGGAGGACTACTTGGGGAAAGGAGGGAGATGTAAGAGATACATTTTTTGGATGGTCTTTAATTTTGGTGTCCTTGGGAGCGAGGGGAAGCTTTATAATTCTTCGCAACTCGTGTTAAGACAGGAGAATTCAAAAATTCCTCCTCTCTGAAAAGACCACCAGAACCTTTCTAACACCTTTTTTTAATAGGAATTAGAAAACATATCATTGATACGATGAAATGTATACCGAGAAGGAAAAAACCTATAAAAAATTATTACAAGAGACAAAAAAATCCTACCGCACACGTATACTTTATGAATGTTGAAGATATTATTATGTGTATTAGTGATCTAGACTATGATATGTGGGGTATTTTAGTTTTTATTTCTTTACGTAGAACGATGTTTGAGATGATTGGATACTGTAAAGTGATAGAGACTATGATATATAAACCTAAGAGTTCTCAGTAAATTTCCAACTTAGCACCTGTTAGAAGTAGTAGCTATTTTGAATTGTTTAATAATGCAAGTGTTTCATTTGCCAAGTCATATCTAGTGCCTTTACAATTAATTCCTTGAGGGAAGGGCTATATCTTCTCATCTCGTCTATGCTAACTTTTATCGATCCCTTTACTCGAGCCTAGAAATTCCTCACCCTGGTGTAAGGATTCATCATGGTTTGAGGTTACTTTGCAGGTGACGATGTACGGCCCACTACATTCTCCATGACTAATGCAGGAGACTGGGACAAATTTAGGAGTATTGACATGGATAAAGAGGTCTTTGTACTTTTCACTTTATTGTTACCCTTTTTTATTTTTGTGAACCTCAGTACAGCTGAATGTTTCGGAAATTAAAGAACGGTAAAGCAGATTCCTAATCTAAGAACATAATCCAATATGTAAGTTTCTTGTTACGCTAAGTTCATTGTAGTCTTGGAGAACTCATCCATTAAGAGAAAGGGTCATATTGATGCAGACAAAGTGGCTTTCTTGAATGCCTGGCGCAGAATTGAGTGTCAAACGAGAGAGGCACTTCGCCGTAGTTTTCTTCCAGAGCTTTTCGAAGCTTTTGAGGTATGTATGTGTAGAAAAAGTCTCAAGCTTTTTTTTTTTTTTCCTGCATTTACTGGATGATTAATATGGTAGGTTAAGCTTTAAAACATTGTTTTTACATGATCGCGAATCTGAATGTTTGTTGAAGAGTGGCAACTAGCAAGGCATCAATCAAGTTAACTTATAATTTGGTAATAAGTTTCTTGAATTTTTGTTTTTCAGAATAGCATAAGATCATTCGTTTCGGACGGTAGTAAAGAAGATGTCCTAACGTTGCGGGTTCGAGACCCATTCCACAGATTATTGCTACATGGAGTTTGTGAGGTATTTCCTCCGGGTTTAAGTTTAAGGAAATAAGCATGCTCAACCATGGGATCAGAAATATACTTCATAGTTCGTACAACCGGATTCACTGTAACTTATCCGAAAAAATAAAAGAGTTACATCTATACGTTAAAGGACATTAATATCGAAATTTTTATAGGTTGAAATACCATTTTAGTCTATGTACTCTGAGTTTCATTTCATTTTAGTCTCGTTACTTTCAAATATCTTAATTTAGGTCCTACCCCTAATAAATCTTTAAACTTGTCCCTATGTACTCTGAGACAACACTCTCGACTAAAAGAGGTCAGAGGTTTGAATCCTCTAAGTCGTTGTACTATTTTGTACATTTAGTTTGAATAAGCTAAATATTTGGCTGAATCATTTTGACATCATGCAAATTGTTTTCTTGGTAGTTCTACAATTTGGACTCTATGATGGTTCCCGAGTTGAAAAACGGAAGCTCTACGAAGATGACTCGGGTAACAAGGAAGAAGAAGGCCTTGGTTGAGGTCCCAAAAATTACTCAGACCCATTTTCTAAAAATGTCCAAAGAAGGAACATGGTAATTTCGATTCATTAGGTGAAGAAACTCGATAGCTATAAATTAATGCTCGTTGCAATAATATCGAAGGTGTAGGTAGTGTAGAGTTGCTCAAACCCTGCTGCTGGCACCAATTGTACCATTAGTATCATTTGAATAGATAAAATGCCTTGTTTCCTATTCAAAAACTGCCTTCCTTCTCTTAGTTCGGTTCGACCAAGTATTATTATGGCGTTGATCGATAAGTGTGGCTGAAATTGTGGGCAAAGATTGTGGATTGATCTACTATGAGCATGAATTAATGTAGATGAGATGACTTTTTAATCATAAAGTTCTGCTCAAAATTACATTTAGTACTCAAGCATGTGAATAAATTATGCAAAAATATCTTTGAACGTTGGAATGAATCTCAATAATGATTTTAAGCTTTGAATTTTTATGTATATTTTACTTTTAAACAATGCTCAAAGAATATTCCTCTCCTTCCAACTTTGTCCTACAAAAATATATTATAAAAATTAGCATATCTATTGTTATAAAAAAAAAAAAAAAAAAAAAAAAAAAAAAAAAATTAGGTGGGAATGATATGATTTAGAATTATATAGGAATTTTTTTTTTTTTTTTTGGAATTTTTGTGAAAAAATTGATTTAGTTCATAATAAGCTCTTTGGTTGGGTCTCGACTATCTAACCCAACACATATAGTTTGAGTTGGGTTAGATTTCTTTTTTTGTTCATGGACTCGAACTTTGTGGTTGGGTCCGGACTATCTAACCCAAAAAAACATATAGTTTGAGTTGAGTTAGATTTCTTTTTTTGTTCATGGCTCGAACTTTATGGTTGGGTCTGGACTATCTAACCCAAAACATATGATTTGAGTTGGGTTACAACAAAAAAAATTGGTTTAGTTCATAGGCTCGAATTGTGGTCGGGTCTAGATATGATTTAGTTCATAGGCTCGAAATTTATGGTCGGGTCTTGGTTAACTTAGCCAATCTATAAAATATGGTTAGGTCTTGAGTTAATTTATGGTCGGGGTCTTGGGTTAAATTAGCCAATCTATCAAATATGTTCTACAATTAATTATTATAAAAATTAAGAATATTTGATATACGAGGAAAATAAGTATCCCTTTTAAATAATAAAAAAACGACCCAAATAAATAATTCAAATGAGAATTGACAAATGAAGATTTGTGTGTTTTTTAAAATTTTCGTAAGCAGTGACGGAATGGAGGCGGCTCTCGACTTTCTTCCTCGTTCGTCTTCGCCTTCATTAACTCTTCTCTCTGCAACAATCACAGTTCTCACTCTTCTTCTCTCCCTTCCTCCACAATGCCGAAGAAACCTGTCAAGTACTTCGTGGTATTTCACCTTAACCATCTCTTTCTCTCATTCCTATTCTGACTGAGAACTGATTTTCGTTTTTGTAATCAAACAGGTTGATGCGTTCACTGACACTCCCTTCAAGGGAAATCCGGCGGCTGTTTGTCTATTAGAGGAAGAAAAAGATGATAAATGGCTGCAGGATTTGGCCGCTGAGTTCAATATCTCAGAGACGAGTTATTTGGTTCGCATAAACGAGGAAGAAGAAACCGATGGTTCGCTCAAGCCGCCCAAGTTTGGCCTCAGATGGTTCACTCCTGTTACTGAGGTTTTTCTTTTCCCCTTTCGTTTCAATGTCGACTGTTTTGAACAATTGCTCTGATTTTGTTTGATTGAAGTTATGAAACAAAAAATTGCGTCTGCTGCTTTCGTTTTAGATGGAAATTGACCTTGACGCTTCGAGTATTGTGAAAATTAGAGAAAAATACATCTAGAACTGAAAACTGATTTGAATTGCTATTTGTAGCAGCAATCATATTTTTATTTTTTTACCAAGTAATTGCTTTCTGATGAAGACCATATCCATTTCAAAGGGATAAAATGGGGAAAAAATTGGCAGGTTCAATTATAAGTTTGATGAGGTTTGTGAATTTAATCCCTGTATTGAAGATTTTTTTAACATTTGAAGTTCCATTCATTTAGTCTTTATACTGTAGGAGGATTTTGATAGGCCCCTTGAACTTTTACTTTTATTTGATTGGTTCTCTGTCTGAATTTTGTCGTTCATGTGACCAATTGCTTGAACCTATTAGATAACTGATGGAGTTAGTAATGGCTTAAACCCTACTAGATAACTTTGTACAAAGACTAAATAAACATAACTCTAAAAGTTCATGATTAAACTTGTAATTTAACAAATCTAATATTCTTAAATTCTTTCCTTATTGTATAATCTATTTCTCCTTTCGTTGGATTATACAAAAATTGATGGGATGCGGCCATTATCTTAACATTAGTTTCTATTTTATCACGCAGCAAATACTAATTGCTTTACTCTTTGTTTTGTTCATGGTGTTTTTTTTTTTTTTTTTGGTCTGCATAGTTCAATGAAGGTAATATTATTCTTTTGTTGCTGTAAATCTTGTTGATTAGGCATCTTTTTCCAGGTTGACCTCTGTGGTCATGCAACATTGGCGGCTGCACACACACTCTTCTCAACTGGTTTAGTAAATTCAGACATTATTGAGTTTTCAACGCTTTCAGGAAAACTAACTGCTAAAAGGGTTCCGGAGGTCAAGCCAATTGGGGTTTCCAATGTCCATAACGGTGAAGCACATGAGAGTTACTTTATTGAATTGGATTTTCCAGCGATCTCGTCGATTGAAGTTGATTCTGCTGATGTTTCTTCAGTCTCCAAAGCATTGAATGTTGCTTCTATGATTGACATAAGGATGACTGTCTCAAAGAATTTGGATAATATCTTGGTAAGCCCTCCAATTGGTTTGATTTTCGATTGTCCTTGATTTTCTGCCATCAACTCTATTTAACTTGAACCATTTAACTTATGCAATATTGCAATATTTTGCAGGTTGTTCTTCCTTCAGAAAAAGAAGTAATAGATTTTGAACCTAACTTTGATGAGATACGAAAGTGTCCAGGAACTGGGGTAATCATAACTGGAGCACCCCTTGGTGATTCAAAGTTTGATTTTTATAGCCGATTCTTCTGCCCCAAATATGGGATCAACGAGGTATTAAATCTTCAATCTTCCCCGATGTTATAATGGTTTAGAGTGTAGAAATTGTGAAGGAAATACATGACATTAGCCATGCTAATCCTCTCTTATTATGCGCAAAATTGAAGTCTTGGAATCTGAAATGCAAATAATGATGTTTTCCATGTTGTTTGGCGGCTTAGAAGTGGGTTGGATTACGAAACTCTTTATAGATTACGTCTTATTATGCCTGTGTTGCATGTTCAGGACCCTGTATGTGGTAGTGCACATTGTTCCTTGGCAGTCTATTGGGCCAAAAAGTTGGGAAAATCTGATTTTGTGGCTTATATGGTACTCTCTCTTTCTCTGCCCTCTCTCTCTCTCTCTCTCTCTCTCTCTCTCTCTCTCTCTCTCTATAGCCAGTTCAGTTCAGTTAAATTTTCTTTTGTTCTTTGTTTATGGGTAGGCATCACCTAGAAGTGGAATATTGAATATCCATCTAGACGAGCAGAAAAAGAGAGTTCTGTTGCGAGGGAAAGCTATTACTATCATGGAAGGTATTGTTTTAGTTTGAAGCTTTTGGGTGTTAGACATACCACCATCGTTATGTCTTTCCTTTCTAAGAACAACTTCTACTAGCCTTTGAATTTGGATGATGTTTTCTTTAGCCCTTCCTCAAATTTAAAATGAACTCCCACCTAGACTTGGAATTTTGAGTTGTGATTGTTTATGTAAGAACTCCCCTCTTTTGAAATAAGACAATCTAAGCTGCTTTCAAATGACTTATATCGGAGAAAACTAGAGAAAACCGACTAACCTGATATTATTTATTGGTATTTTCTGTTAGCATTATCATTTGTACTCGAGGTCTTTACTTTTATTGGATAAACATGATAGACATAGGATGTGTTAATACACGGATCTCATTGTTAGGGTCGAAAAATGCAATCAAATAGAGCTCTAAAAAGAATTCTTATTTGGGTCGGAAAATACAATCTAATAGAACTCTAAAAAAAATTCTTATTTTGAGAAGAAGTGCATTATATACCTCAGGGTGAGATATATTTGAATATATAATATATTAAAATATAAAATTTTATTTAAATCATATTTTTGTATGAATTTATAATTCAAATATATATTTTTTAATACACACTAATTCTTTTAAAATTTAATGTAGGTATACTAATTATATTTGTATCTTTTATATTTAATATATCTAATATTTGAAATATTAATTTCAACATTTCTATATTTAAATATTAATTTGAATAATTTAATTTTTTTAGACTCCACCCAATTTAATTATTCATTCCTGTGGTAAATTTTTTAAACTCAAATAATATTTATTAAATAATAAACCATAATAAACTCAATTCAATCTCACCAGGTTGGGTTGGGTTATTTGTTTATTCAATTTTTTGATTTAATAAGAGTAAAATAATAGTTTGAAAAACATCTATTTATTTATTTTCAAACATTTAATTAAAATTTACAGATTTAGTTTGAATATACATTTTGAAAAATTACAAAATTATGAAATTGAATAAAAATAAAAATTATATCATAATAAAAAATTTACCATTTAAAATTAACAAAAAAATTCAAATCGGTTCAGTTCAACTTAATTCAACTCAGTCGGTAAAAATTTTCATTTATTTAAACTTAATCCAATAAAATTTTCATTTATTTAAATTCATTTTTTTTAATGTTATTTTTCATTGTAATGTTTATAGTTTTAAAATATTTATTTTGGTCTCTATGGATTCCATTTTTATTTATGTTAGTCCATAATCTATTTTAATCTATGTAATTTAAAAAAGAAAAATTACCATTATATTCTATTAATCAAATTTGAACATATATTTTATTTGCAATAAATTTATAGTTAATGGTAAGAAATTTAGTGAATAAAATGTTATTTTAATATTCTTAGTGAAAAAAAAATGAAAATGAAAGAAAGCGGTAACTTTTTAGAAGTGAAGTAATATGCTTCATAAATTATAAGGATTTAAACGAACCAAAGAATAAGGACCAAAATACATATTATATGTTTTTTTTTAAGGTAGTGAAAAAAATATATATTATATTTTAATATCCACAAATACACCAAAAAATGATTGAAATAAAGAGAACTTTTAGAATATCATGTAAAATGGCATAGGTTGTGAAAATGCCTTTCTTAATTAAATATAAATTAATAAAAAAAAATACTCTTAAATATGAAAAATATTATAATTATTTGTTTAAGATTAAAATATATATATATATATATATTAATATTTCCTCTTAAGAGTATCTTTGAATTTTTAAAGTATTTAAAAAAAAACTTAAAAGGTCAAAAGTTTCATCAACTAATGACGGATTTTGTTATTCTGCAAAAATAAATTTCTTTTTTGATCCATGTACTTTTAGTTACCGTCCTTTTGATTTTTACAATTTCAAAATATTTATTTTTGTTTCTGTATTTTTTTTTTATTATTATTTTAGTCTATATATTTTCCAAATATCTATCTTGATCTATGTAATTTGCTTTTTTTATATAAATTTGTGTACGTTTTGAATGGAGATTTCATTCTAAAATTCGAGTGAAAAAAATGAAAATAATACACGAACAAGAACAAATGCTTTAAAAATAAAAAGACGAACAAAAGTAAAAGGAATAAAAAAAAAAATAAGTAGAAAAATAAATAATTATAAAAAACGATTCTGTTTATATAATAGTAAGAATATTTTTTTTAAAAAAAAAAAAAAATTAAGTGATATTTTTTAACCTTAAAAAAAATATTGAGATTTTTTTTTTTTGGGCGTCAAATTAAATGGATTATTTTTTATAAAAAAAATTTAAGTAATATTAAGATTTTTTTTTTTTTTTTTTTTTCCTTAAATGAATATTTCTACTCAATAAATAGACGATTAAGGAGATATAATATAAGAACAAAAAACTTCTTCTTGTCTCCCTATGGCTGCTAAACAAGCCATCAAATATTTTGTGGTATTTTACCTTACCGTCTCTTTCTCTCGTGTGGATTCTGAATAAGAATTGATCTTTGAGCTTTGTAATTAAACAGGTTGATGCGTTCACTGATTCTCCTTTTAAGGGAAATCCAGCAGCGGTTTGTATATTAGAGGAGGAAAAAGAAGATGAATGGATGCAAGCTTTGGCAGCTGAGTTCAATATCTCAATAACGTGCTATTTGATTCGCATAAACCAGAAAGAACAAACCAATGATTCACTGAAGCCCTCCAAGTTTAGCCTCAGATGGTTCTCTCCAATCACTCAGGTTTTCCTTTTCCTCTTTCGTTTCACTATCAACTATTTTTTAACGTAATGCTCTAAGTACTGATTACACAAGTTTTTCCAGATTGAGATGTGTGGTCATGCCACACTAGCAGCAGCACATGCACTCTTCTCATATGGTTTAGTAAATTCAGACACTATCGAGTTTTCAACGCTTTCGGGAAATCTAACCACTAAAAGGGTTCCAGAGGTCAAGCCACTTCGAGTTCCAAACGTTCATAAGGATGAAGCACACGAAAGTTACCTTATTGAATTCGAATTTCCAACTATTCCGCCGATTGAAGTCGATTCTACTAATGCTTCTATAATCTCCAAAGCATTGAGTGTTGATTCTATGATCGACATAAAGATGATTGTCTCAAAGAATTTCGATAATTTCTTGGTGAAGTGCTTCATATTGCTCATCCCCATCTCAATATCTACTTCATAATACACAACCAGAACAATCAGTACTTATACAACATTTTGCAGGTTGTTCTTCCTTCAGCAAAAGATGTAATAGATTTTGAACCAAACTTTGATGAGATAAAGAAGTGTCCCGGAAGTGGGATAATCATAACTGGAGCACCCTCTCCCTCGGCTGAGTCAAAATTTGATTTTTATACACGTATGTTCTGCCCAAAATCTGGGATCAATGAGGTATTAACTCTTCAAACTCTTCAAATTCTTGTGTCGGTTGAGAATTGTTTGGAGGGAGTCCACGTTGACTAATTTAGGAAATGATTATGAGTTTATAAGGAATACATCTTCATTGGTATGAAACTTTTTGGGAAGCCCAAAAGCAAAGCTACGAGAGCTTATACTCAAAATGGACAATATCATACTATTGTGGAGGGTCGTGATTCCTAACAATGCCCCAAGACACCTCAAACGCTACCACGTTCTTATATACCGTGTGTTGCGTGTCCAGGAAGCTGTATGTGGTAGGGCTCATTGTGCTTTGGCAGTCTACTGGGCCAAAAAGTTGGGAAAATCTGATTTTGTGGCATATATGGTACTCTCTCTGATTTTGTGGCTTATATGGTACTCTCTCTCTCTCTCTCTCTCTAGCCAGTTCATTTAACTGTTCTTTCGTTCTTTCTGTATGGCTAGGCATCACCTAGAAGTGGAATACTGAACGTCCATCTAGACGAGCAGAAAGAGAGCGTTCTGCTGCGAGGGAAAGCTATTACTATCACAGAAGGCGTTGTTTTAGTTTAAAACTTTGGTGTTAGGCACCATTGTTCTATCTGTTCTTTCTACGAAGAACGTTAAACTCTAAATAAATATTCTCTTGCACCAATCTACTCTTTCTAGCCTTCGAATTTGGGGGCTTTAAAAACTATTTAACTTACTATAGACTAGAATAACTATGATTCTCCGTCCTATTCAAAGTACGTTAAATGGATATCTCTACATGCAACATAGTCCATGAATGATAGAACCTATATCAAAAATGAATTTAATTGAACTCGATAGAATGTAACGAACCGAGCCGAACTGAACCCAATTTTATGAATTAGTTTAGATTGGATTCACAACCTAGCAAAAGTTAGCTTGAGTTATAAAGATTTACAACAAAAACGATTAGAATAGGTTCGAATGAAGAACTCTTACTTGTAACTTCATTCCATCGATTCCCGAACTAGAAACTCTACTGCTTCGACCTGCTTTATTAGTTAAAAGTACCACAGGCATCAAAATGTCAATAACAGGAACAAGCCCAGCCAAACAGCTAAAGTTTGTATTAAGAAACTAAAGCAACCATAATCTTGAAAGATAAACAGAGTGGTTAACCAAAAAAAAATGAGTAACGCTGCAAGTTAAAAGAGAACAAGAGATCGTTTCTATATATATACTTCTATAAGTTTCTTGATCAAAATTTCTTCTGGATTTCTTCATTCAGAAAGGTTATCAGCCCTTTTCAATTCCACAATCAGGCATCATTCAAATTTGAGTTCTTTCCTCGTCGGCAGAATCCCGGAAGGGAATTTCTTTTCCAAACTATCGAACCAAATTGTCGAGCCGATGAATCAGACGAACTTGGTAAGTAGGATTCAAGATGAATGTAAAACAGCACTCTGAACTAAGAAAGAGTCCATTTGCAGTGTTAAGATTACTAATATAACATCTCATTCATGTTGGCTTCAGACATCTTTTCTAAGTCTTCTTGGGACAACAAGGTCTTTCTACCACTGCTCCCTGCCTTATCATAGGGTTGTGCCATCTTCCTAAGGAACTGCACCCACAGATTTTGTTTCGATTCGATTATTTTTTCGTTAATGTAGAAACTGAAAATGCTCAGACATTCTTAATCATTTGGAAGCTAAGATCTTATAGAAGATGCATTTAAGATAATTAACCCAAACTTTGCTTCCAACTGCGAGCTCAAAATGCCAAAAATTTGGCAACTCAAATTATTCAGCATCCTTAGAACACGAATGAATTGATTTGAATGCCAAACATTTGTAGATGTGTATGATAGAAAATTTGTCAATATCTAGGACAAGGACGGTAACGAATAACGAACCTCCCGTGCTATGTGCAGTGCCATGTCTGTGCTCAAATTCAAGTGTGCATCACGTAAATGTGACAATATCCATCCAGGCAATTTAGAGCGCTTGTCATGACGGCTATACCTGCACAACGGTAAAAAAAAAAGATAAAATCTTGCAAAGACCAAAAAAAATCACAGTTTCAAGACATTTTTTTTCAATATATTTTGTACTAATAAATTGCAAATATCATGGTATTTTTTGAACACCTTCCAAATCCATGTGGTTTACAGTTATCTTAAAAATCGATGATTGTTTCTTCAGCATTCTGTATAATTATTTTATTTATAAATTATCATTATAGATAGCTTTATTTATTCATGTACCAACGTCATTCATATGATATCCTCTATTGCACTTTACCTCACATGGTTTACAACTTGGAAAGTTAAAATGATGCTGTACAGTTGAATCAGTATGAACAAACTCGTACATTTAATTAAGATCCATGCGAACCAATGAATCAGTAACTTGTGATTTGTGAACTCTTGGAGTAATAACTGAAAATATGTTCTGTAAACGAGGAATTAATTGAAACTAGCTATGAAGTAAAAATCAAACCTTTTATCAGCAAATATCATCATCCCGTAGTCAGCCTTCGACCGGATAACTCGACCAACACATTGCGCAGCTTGTCTCTGCTCAAATTGTCAGAACCAATTATTTCCACCATACACCAAAAAGAGCTTCAACGGATAGTTAGAAGAGTAAGTTTCCCATACCAAAGCATCAAAAGTTAAAAAATCCCCTTCCTTAATTTGAAATGTCTCGCGTAAATACTCCAGCCGAGCAAGCAAAATTCTGAAAACAAAATCATTATATACACAGTCAGAAATAACCAAGTCGAAACAAAAAGGACCACGCCATTATCCTCGCCCCAGGACAGCCTACCCACCCAAAAAGAAAGGAATACACTCAATTTTCAATTAAAAAAAATTCATGTGCACACAAGATTCTGTTCTTGTAAGGATAAAAAACCATGGTCTTGATAAATCTAAATTTAGAAACAGAAAAATGCTTTACATTGATTAATCATATTTTTGCCCCACAAGCTTCTCATTAGAAAGTCACAAGATGAAACTCACTTGCTTAATGTGTACTGGAAAGGAACACCAAACATTATCACCAATCGTCCATAATGTCGATCAAAATCTATACCTTCGGCAACCTTCCCCCTGCATAAACATAGATCAATTCCAAATTACATTTGATCACTCCTCTTAATCTCCATCTCTGTGAAGTTATTTAAAAGCTTTTTTCCCGAAGGAATCCAATAATTTTAGAGATGGTATGAAATCACCAAAAGGGGAGGATAGTCTCCCAAGCAAGAAAGATTACAAAAAAATTATTCCATTTGGTACAAAGATCACATAAACCATAGATATTAAGCGGAAAAGAAATTTGCACGAAGAAAGGCCAACAAAAATTACATCAAATATCTATGGTTTTTTTTATACCATTGAAGAATCTATTGTTTTATTTTATATAACCAAAACACCCAAAAAAAATATCTAACAATTGTAGCCGGAACATCTTCATTTCTTTTTTAAACGGTGTCCAAGCAAAATGCTATCAAAAAGTTATATTGACAATGAAGAAAATAAATCATCAGTCTACACAGAACCTCTATTTAGCTATCTCTTCTCGATTCCCTTTCTTCTCCCAGCTTAGGAAATATTATGACATGTTTTGTAGAGGGCTCAAAAATTTGTTTTTGAGAGGAATGTGGGGGTGGGGGTTCTCCCCTATGTGCTTTGTTTCCACGTCTATACCACCTTTCAGATATGAAGTAACATTTGGTGACTTATCCTGTCTTCCTCAAATTCCTCCTTTTCACTTTCTTTAGGCTTTTGTCGTCCTCTTTTTGATAAGAGAGAGGACGAAAGCAATGGCCTTTTTTCTATCCTTCGTGACCTATATGTGTGCGTTTGGGGAAGGACTTTAGAGTTTGGACTCCTAATCGTTTTGGGGAATTCTTATGCCATTCGTTTTTTAACACTTTATGAAACTCCTCTCCCTCATATTGCCTTGGCTTTCTCCTCTCTTTGGAAGATTAAAATTCGCAATGTCAAATTCACTACGTATCGGGTTTTACATAGGAAAGTCAATACCTTGGACCGAACTCCCTTTAAGGGCTTTCCCTCAAGGTTTTAGAACACGTCTACTAGGGAGAGGTTTCCACACCCTTATAAGAAATGCTTCATTCCCCTATCCAACCGATGTGGGATCTCACCGTTGTACTTGTATGAAAGGGATAAGACAACCCCCTTTAACCACACTATTCTGGTAACTAAAAAACAAAAGGAAAAAATAGGGGGAGCATTGACAGAGGAATAGGATACCTGGCTACGGAAAAAAATACAGCACCTCTCCCACAATCACAAGCCTTGCGGTAATTGTCAAGAGCCAGGGTAGTCTCCACCACATCTTGGGTCTCAATGAACACAAGTTTATGCTGCATTATTTCCTGAGGAAATGAGTTCAACCGTTTAGTTACGATCGGGGTGGATCATGTTAAGACTAATTCCCACTAAAAAGCTGTTACCAAGCCAAACATGAGTAATCGTCACCTTTAGTATGCCAGTTTCATTCCAACTATTTACAATCCCATCCATATATGAGTAACTGACGAAGAAACATACTATCCCATCAGGAACTGCTGAAACCATCTCGAGCAAGAGCCTACCGTAATTCCTTACCACACCAAGATCGCTTCTCATATCAAATTTAGTACTTACTGGAAGTTGGTCGCTATTGCAACAAAACAAACTATGTTCAGCATAGAAGATCCTACGTTTTACTAAAGAAGAATAATAATCAAACTTTAATAATAATATATAGAACAAATGGGTAATGTATTTCAACAGAACCACACACCTGCCACGAGTGAGAACCATTGGACATATGCAGTCTCTGGTCAGGGACATTGTAAAACTTCTGCTAACAACAGGATTAAAATTGAGCAAACGAGGGTAGAGATCAATTGGGCTCAGAGTACCAGATGTAATCACAACTGATTGAAATCGTTCAAACACAGGCTTAATAGCAAGTGAGGCATCATGACAGCTAAGCTGAGGAGAAAATAAGGAACATTTAATAAATAATTTAGTTTAAACAATGGACATAATTACTGAAAAAAAACTATAAAGTTCAATTTTAGATTTCATTCAATGGAAACATGCATGAGCTAGGGGCTATTCAACTAGAGAACAAAGATAGATGCTTACTTCTTTAGGATTTCTTTTTACTTTTTTTTCTTTATTTTGGATAGGAAACAATTTCATTGATTAAATAGAAGGTGCAAAAGGAGAGCTCATCCTTGGAGTTACCAAAAAACTTCTCCAACGGGATAAAAGTGGAAGAAAAAAAAAAGGAGAAGGCTCAAGCAATTCCCCCGAGGATCGTTCCTTGTTTTGAATGATTCTATGATTTTCTTTTTCCTCTCTTTTTTTCTTTTTTATTAGTACTTCTTCTGGAAAGTCTCGATATTGAAATAGGAGAAGAAGAGAGAGCATCCAGCCCAGAGAAAAAGAGTTGCAAAAGTTGTGTGTATTCTCCTAATATATGAAGCATCCGCACTTTAAGATCAGAACCGTATTTAGAGACAAAAATCATGTACCAATCTGTGAAGGGGTCCAACTTAAACACCTCTCCACCATCAAGGGATCATCTAAACTTAAGATCAAAACTTTTAGCATCCAAATTCCATACTACAAAAGGTATTCAAGAAGTACACACACACACACACATATATATGAGAATTAAGGCAGATATAAACTAACCTGCAGTACAGGGTCAGGAATATGCGGCATTCTCTCATCAACAGGCTCAATTATAATTGAGAAACCTCGTGCATATGTCCCAACGAGTGTTGCAAAGTCGCATATGGTCTGTACGTGCAAGAACTCATCAGTGTCGGTAATTTCAAGTGTCAGCATGAGGGAGTAGAGACGATCATAACAAAACTTCAGGGTTTTTTGGTCAATTCCAGCCTGAGAACCAATAGAGCTAACAAAAGTTACAATCCCTTCCTTCTCAACATTTTCAGTGTCCAAACGTCCTTCAAGATACTGAACCAATCTCCGCAACACATGTATAAAGTGTTCAGCTCGCCGTATATTTCCTGGCACGGCCTCCTTCAAAATATCATCTGGAAGAGCAGGGTTAGAGAGCCACGTATCCGAAACTGCATAACAAAATTAAAGAAAGTTAGGATATTATCCCAGGAAAAGATCATCCAAAAAAAAATCATGCAATCTTGTTACACAAATACAATAATGTAAAACATACTAGGTAGGTTTCCTCTTTGTGCCAAACCATCTACCAGCCTGTTATATTCCGCACGCAGTCTACCTGCATCAGTTTCCTTAAACCTTCCTACCATATCAAGGAAAATACTGATTAAATTTCAATTCAAAAGTAACAGAAACACCTAAACACCCAGACATTAATTTCTCAATAAGAACATTAAAAACAAATGAACCATGGCCTTTCTAGATATGGCATGAGATTAAGAGAAAGCAACTTAGTATCTGATTATACCTCTCAATCTCCTGACGCATCTTATTGAGATTTCTTCTGGCACCTTCAATAGTCTGCCTCCTCACACTAACACTAAGGGCTTCGATACACACGTTATCAATATTGTGCGCCTCATCAAACACTACAACAGATTCTCGCTGCATTTCCTTGGATATAATGCTAGCTACTTTGGGATCAAGCAAGTATTGATAACTATATACTACCACATTTGCAAACTGTACCATATGCCGTGCCAAGAAGTAAGGACACCAACCCTTCTTTGTCCCAAAAGCTCTCAGATCCTATAAATTCAGCGAGGAAATTGCATGAATTAACTAGTCAAGGCATAAATGATTTTCATCTATAGAAATGAATATTAGAGGAATTTTGTCAATATAACCTAGTACATATAAATGATTTAAGAAACAATTCGTCTTTACACTATAAAGGTAAAAGACTGCGTAAGTGTTTAATTACTTAGTATCTGCTACACAATTTAGGCCACCGTTGGGGATTAGGGAAAAAAAAAGATTGGGAATTCTAAATTTCGTGAAAGTCATAATCTCAATTCAACCAGTACCTGCAGCGTATAAACCCCCGGCGGCAACACCGCACTGGAACCCGCCTTTTCATACTGCTCAAAGAATTCACAAGTGGGCACATTGGGATTCTCGGCCGCCATGGCCCTAACCCAACTCGCCGTCAGCTTGCGGCAACCAGCATCGACAGAATCCCGATTCTCCGAAGCCAAAACAGCCGGATTGACACACAGATTCTTCCTGGAAGAAAGCCCCACAGCCAAGATCTGAGCGCGAGGGCCAACCTGCTGAACCTGGTAATCATGGAGCAATCTGAGCTCGGCGAGGGTCTTCTCCATTTCGTGGACAGTGCGAGTGCAGTAGATGAGCTTGACGGGGTTTTGGGGCTTGGAGAGGACGTAGCTGGTGATGAGGGAAAGGAGGGCAATGGTTTTTCCAGTGCCTGTGGGCATTTCGAGAAGACAATGGCCCTTGGCGTCGAGAGCTCGCTTCAGCTCAAGCATGTAAGCGTACTGCTCGGGGTAAATGTGATCGTAAGGGAAGTAGACTGTGACATCCTCTAATTGAAACTTCATGATGCTTGCTCCGCCAGTGACGAGATTACGACAGAGAACCAGAGCCGCAGCGACGGCGGCGGCGGGCGGCGGCGGCGGCAGAGAGATTTCAGAGGTCTGGCCGAGGGTGACTCGTTTTTACGCGAACAGAGACTTAAGCCCGCACTTCACAAAGCCTCCGTCTCTTTCCCCCGATTTTCCCTTTTTTTTGTTTTTTCTTTTCCGTATTAATGCAAATAAGATTTAACCTATTTCTTTTAACTGAAAATAAAATCCAAATTATTTACCTTTAAGTTTAAAGGAATAAAAAATCAAATTAATTCGGGAATTTTAATTTCAATTTACGAATAAATTTTACTTTCTCCTCTCTAAATAGACTTTCTTTTGATTTTAAAAAAAAAAAAAAAAAAA